TAACGTTCCTTGTCAAACAGACAGCATTGAAGCCTCTCGACCCTAACGACGAATTTTCAAACGATCAGATCACTCTTTTGTGATTGGTTAACTAAAAGTGATAGATTTGACAGGTGCCAAATGTAAGTGCTCGCGTGAAAGTGAGACTCTCAACGGTCGTGAACAAGAGGTTTCTCGCTACTCGCTGCTTGGCAGGCGGCGAATAAGAAATAAAAACGACTAAAAAATCAGCGAGGAAACCTATGGACCTAGGGTAGGTTTTTGATCTTTTTATGAATTTTGCATGTTATAAGTATTCATTAGCTTATTTTTTTAATCCATTTTGTTTAAGCTTTCATTTTATTGTATTTTGGTCGTTTGTTTTATTTCATTTGGTTTTGGATTTTCCGTGTTTTATTTGCTTTTCGTCGAGATGTTTTTTATGGCCGAGAAAACTTAAGATGTTTTTGTCTAAGCAATCAAACGTTTTGTGGTCTTCGTCAAAGACAAATTTAAAGTATACCCAGTAAGTTTTTTTWAAGCCTTGCTTGCAGGTGCTTTTGCCCTATGCGTGCTATGCACAGGGAACATTCCCAAGTATTGYCTGTTATTTCTTGTCCAAAAGGAATGATTTTCCACCAAAAACGACGAAGTATTTCACTCTAAAAGATATTTGGTGAATCTTTCCACGGATGAGTTTTAGTCTTTTTCTCCYTATTTCTTGAGTGAAAGTTCAAAGTGACTTGTGATTTAAGTTTCTCTTAGACCAAACAAATTTGCCAGTCAGCRAACCTTTTGTTTGAAGCTCAAGATTTCCTAGTTACGTTCCAGGTTTTCAGCTCGATAAACAACGGCTTCTATTCGAAAATAAAGAAAATAAAATTCACAAGTGGCGGGAAAGATTCACCAAATATCTTTTAGAAAAATAGCATAATTCGTCGTTGTTGGCAGAAAATATTTTCTTTTAACAAGAGATAACAGAAAATATGGGGAATTTTTTATTTCTGTGAATAGGAATTACTTTGCRCGCCTTTCAATAGGATATATTGAGCCACAGGCAAGATGTTCGCTGATTGGTCAATTAATTGAAATCATTTGAGAGTTTGCGGTTTTCTTTTAGAATAAATTTTAAAATGAGCATACGGCGTAAAACAATTGTTTTCTTACCAAATTACCCTTTCATTTGCTTATAACCCATGTTTGATTAAAACTCGGAGGTTCTTTTGTTTTCTAAAGTGTTAAACAAGTCCTACTTGATGTAAATTCATCTCTTAATTAAAATYTAACTTAAAAGTTTAGTAGATCTATTATAGATCGCCAGCTAAATATTCTTAAAGTGGAGCTACTCTTAATATTTCTGGTGTAATTCTGCCTCAAGTGATTACAGTCGTTGAGTGGTAAAATAATTACAGCTAGGGAATATTACGAGGGGAGTCAATAAATCGTGATCCAATCAGATTGCGCAACAGGGTAAAGATAACTCGCGCGCTGATTGGTTGGTAGTTATGAGGGCATTTTTATATAATACTGATTTTTTTATTTTTTTATTTAATTTTTTTTATTTTTTATTTTTTTATTTTATTGCCAATTTTAAACGGAAATTTTTTTATTCCATTTTCAAAAAATTCTCGTCCACGCGTATTGTTTTTTTTTTTTTTTTTTTTTTTTTTTTTTTTTTTTTTTTTTTTTTTTTTTTTTTTTTTTTTTTTTTTTTTTTTTTTTTTTTGTTTATCGATCGATTCATAATCAGTAAACAATACTTAGATCTTAATTCTTAGATCACCTCAATTAGATACATTATAACCGTAGTACAAATATATAGTTTATATATACTCTCATATAAATACTTATTTTGAAATTCACTTGCTATGTTAACAGAAAATGGACCATAACTCAACCAGTAATTACGAAAACTACAAAGCACCGACTCGAGAAGTTGTTATTCTCGTCTTTCTCAACAGCTTGGGTTGTATTCTTGGAACTCCAGCCAACGCTCTTGTCATTGTTGTAATCTTCAGCATGCGGTGCTTAAGAACAAGTAGAAACTACATACTTGCTTCTCTGTCTGGTTCAGATCTCATAACTTGCGTTGTCTGGCAGCCTCTCTTGATTGACAGTGTCCTAAATGGACTCCGAGTTAACTTCTTGGTATTATTCTGTACCTTTTTTGCAAGCCTCTCATCCTTGAATAACTTGATTTGTCTTACGATGGAACGATTCATTGCCGTACATTTTCCATTTCGTTATTTGAATAGCCTAACTCGTCGACTAGTCGTATTCATTTGTTTCTTAGCGTACAGCATTGCCTTCCTGCTTGCAAGCCTCATTGCCACCAAGCACTTACCATATGAAGTCATTTACGTTTATATCCTTATCCTAACTTTACTCATGATGTTGTTCTACGCAAATATTTATTGTACRGCTATGAAGCAAGTGCGAAAGATCCAAGCTATGCAGAAGACACCCACCGATGTTGAAAACTCCTCCAAGGTCATCAAGGCAAAATACACGACTACATCCGTCGCGATCGTTGTTGCCTTATTCGTTCTAAGCTGGCTGCCCTATCTTCTACTGCCAGCGATTCCCAAACAGCATTTTAGTCAAGCCTTTCCATGGGTTAACACATGCGCTATTCTGCAGTCAAACATCAACCCGTTCCTCTACTTCTGGAAGTTTGCTTCGTTTAGAAGAGAATCCAGAAGGTGTTTGCAGAAGTTGCAGAACAGTATGGGAATACTCTAACAAGAACGTGCAGTCATAGGTAAAGTGCATTCCTCCATCGAGATGCAAACAAGAACCGTAGCAAAAGTCAACTCGACTAGACATTTCACATTAAACACGTACATAGCTGTATAAAATGGGAGACGCCAAAAACTAAAACAAAGTTCATTAAATTGAAAAAACGCTATCAAGGCCCGTAGCAGCCTCCGTTACAGACRTCCTGCGCAAGACGTCCTCCACAAGGGAGGGATCCGAACCGAACTCCGCAGGACGTCTGCAACGGAGGCKAGGTCCGTAGCAAAAGCGGACAACATGAGACATTTCAGATTAAATATGTACATAGATGTATAAAGTGGGAGACGTCCTAAACTAAAACAAAGTTTATTAAATTGAAGAAAAATAACGTGTTCAAGGCCCGTAGCAAAAGTCCTTACGAGACATTTCACACTAAACACGTACATAGCTGTATATAGACGGCGACGTCCTAAACTAGAAGCAGTTCATTAACTTGAAAAAAACGTTCTTAATACAAAAAAATCAATAAGTAGTAATAGACCCCTTGCAGCACTTCGGTCTCCGGAATTCAAAATGCAACTCAATTCTGAGGGCAAAATAATAGCTTATTATAAAGCATGGGTGATTTGCGCTGCRTGCTAATGCGCCGCCTCGCACCAATGCATTGTGACACAAGTCTAGTCCTGTCAGGCTTGGATGGTGTCGTATGTGAGTAGAGTTGTTTGTTGGTTCTCTCCTGTGCCTCAAGGGTTTTTTTCTCCGGGTCCTTTGCTTTTCCTCCTTCCGCAACAGAATCAACTCGTAAATTCCAATTCGATCTGTTATTGAAAGCTTTTATGAGCCCCTGGCAAAGGAACTGAGCATTCACCGCCTTGCAAACGACGTACAATAATAACATTTACATTTGCAAGWCGATCGAGAAAAGACGGAAAGAAAACGAAACAAAAAAATAATGATGACAATCGATGAGCACTCTTTGATTCTATTTTTAGAATCTTTGATACTAATTTTAGAATTATTCATTTGATCGTTTGCGTTTGTTTTTCTGTACGCAGAAAAAAAGAAAAAAAGCTACCCTTTAGAGATTGTAAATATCAAAAAACTATTATGTTTACGTTTCTTTGATTATTTCTTCATTTCTTTATGTGCATCACCAATTAGTGTATTATTACACTAAAGCATACTGACATTTTAATAAAGATTTATTTATTTTATTGTTATTATTATATATATTTTTTCATTATTAGTGTTATTATTTCCTTGATATACAGTTATTTCAAAAACGTTTGGCGAAGGTTTTGTTACATGTTACATACGAAGCCGGAAATGTGCTATGGGCGGTGTGAATTCAATCAGTGAAAAGCCACAACAGTCGTAACATTTTCTTMAACTTTGTCTGCACGTTTTTCCGGCATATTTTCTTCTGTGCTGACATTATTTACATGTGAGTATAATACATTCTTAGCTTAGTAAGCAACATGTAACAGAACCTTCACCAACCTTTTTTTTCCTTTCCCGCCATTTTTCTTCTGTGCTGACATTAT